ATGAGATATTCAGGCACATCACCTAAAACCTGGTCAATGAGGGTGTTTTAAGGACGGTCTTTAAGGAGTAAAGTAAGATGAAGAGGTGGAATGGTTTAGGAGAGAATTCTAGAGGGCGCAGCCTTGGCAGCTGTTGGAGTAATTAAATTTGGAGATGTTCAAGAAGCTAGAATTGGAGGAGGGCAGAGATCTGGGAGGGTTGTAGGGATGAAAGAGATTACAGAGATAGTGAGGAGTGAATCCATGGGATGATTTGAAAACAAGATGAAAATTTTAAAAGTTGTCTGAATGGGAGCAGTTACAAGTGGGCACAAGAGTGATCAGTGAACAGGACTTAGTGTAAATTAGGACTTGAACTCCCAATCTCCAGATTGTTAAGCCAGGACCACAGCAATTTAACTGCCATGACGAGACATATTTATTGAAGTGTCTTTTAATGACTTCTTTAAACAGAAGGTAGAAGCCGGAATAGGCCATTAGATTCCTGGAGCCTGCTTCGACATTCATGACGATCACGACTGATCATCAAGCTCACTACCCTAACCCCTCCACCCTGATCCCTTTAGCTACAAGAGCTTAAAGATTTTACCTGAGGGCCCCAGTCTTTCCATAAGATTAGGCTTGGACCTGATAGTTTTGTCCAGTGCTGTGGCTGAATTAAGGTTGTAGAGTCTGACTGACTGCAGTGTATCAAATTTTCAAGGATAAGTCCTTTCAATCAGCTACACTGAAGCAACATTTTCCTCAGCTTTGAGCACTTCCTGCCAAATGAGATTTCTTCACATAATGTTGGAAAACAAAGGGTGACAATTCCAAATTGTGATTCAATCAACATTTCTACTATATATTTTTCACTGGTTAACAGTATGTAAACATGGACAAAACTGGTCATCACCAGCATAATTCAAACTTATAGTGAATTGAAGGCTCATTTTACACTTTGCCATCACAGTACCTGGGAAGATGGGATGTGGGCTGCAAAAAAATTGTCTTCTCCTGGCCACTATACAGTGTTCCTGCTGGAACAGACGGTATGTGACAGTCAAGCGAGGGAAAGAAAGGGAACAGCAGACTTGCAGTCACTGTGGAACAGTCTCTAACTGAGGAGTCAGGCCATTCAGCAAAGGAGGAGAGGGAGATGGAGGAAATCATGTTTCCTTTTCCTATTTTACAGAAGGATTTCATGGTACTACACCAGAGAATACAGAGAGGATAGACACCACAGATAGATCCTGACCATTCCCCAAGGAACAACTGCACAACTGGGCGAAGATATCCAGTACCCTCATAGCATTGCTCAACACAGAGAAGGCTGGACAGTGAAACCATCATCTGGAAACCATTTATGTTAGGGAACCTTTGAGACATCATCAGATCTGAAACTGATCAGTGGCGTGGAGCCTTCCATCAGAACCAACCTTTCTGAAGGATCGGCTGTGGGTGATCAGTCAGAGTGGGGCTGGGAAGAAGTGTGAGTGGCTCCAAGCATGGTGACAGTTTCAATCATTTGTCAAGCCTCATGAACCACTGATGCATTTTTTAAGTTGAGAGGCTGTTTGAGTGTGAAGTGTATGAAGAGGGCTCCACAAGTGCATCTGTTATACACTAATGACAGAACAACAGCTTCATGGAAGATAAACCATTCAAGTGTGAGATGTGCGATCGAGCTTTTGCCAAGTCATCAACCCTTGTGAATCACCGACGCATTCACACTGGGGAGAGGCCATTTAAGTGTGACATATGTGACAAGGCATTTGCACAGGTATCGGGCCTGGTGAATCACCGACGTATCCACACTGGGGAAAAACCTTTCACATGCAAAGTGTGCAACAAGTCTTTCTCAGAGTCATCGACCCTCCGGATACACCTACGCATTCACACAGGGGAGAAGCCATTCACGTGTGAGGTGTGTGACAAATCATTCTCGTCATCATCGGATCTCCGTAAACACCAACGTACTCACACAGGAGAAAGACCGTTCATGTGTGAGGTGTGTGACAAATCATTCTCGTACTCATCACATCTCCACACGCACCGACGCATCCACACTGGGGAGAAACTGTTCAAGTGTGAAGTGTGTGACAAGTCATTCTCTGATTCATCAAGTCTCTTGCTCCATCAGAGGATTCACACAGGCGAGAAACCATTCACATGCAAGTTATGCAACAAGTCATTCTCGCAGTCATCGACCCTTCGCATACATCACCGTATTCATACAGGGGAGAAACCATTTACATGTGAGGTGTGTGACAAATCATTCTCACTGTCATCGAATCTCAACACACACAAACGCATTCACACTGGGGAGAAACCATTCAGATGTGAGACATGTGACAAATCGTTCACACAGTCATCGACCCTCAGCATGCACAGACTCATTCACACTGGGGAGAAAGCATTCACTTGTGAGGTGTGTGACAAATCATTCTCAAATTCATCAAGACTCCTGCTCCATCAGAGGATTCACACAGGGGAAAAACCATTCACATGTGAAGTGTGTGATAAATCATTCTCCGTGTCATCAACACTTCGCAGACACCAACGCATCCATACAGGGGAGAAACCGTTCACTTGTGGATTCTGTGACAAATCATTCTCAGATTTATCACACCTTCACAGACACCACCATATCCACACTGGAGAGAAACTGTTTAAGTGTGAAGCTTGTGAGAAATCATTCTGTGACTCATCAAGTCTCCTGCTCCATCAGAGGATTCACACAGGGGAGAAACCATTCACATGTGAGATGTGTGACAAATCATTCTCAGTGTTAAATTCCCTCCACAAGCACCAACGCATTCATTCAGGGGAGAAACCATTTACATGTGAAGTGTGCGACAAATCATTCTCTGAGTCATCAAACCTTCGCAGACACCAACGCATTCATACAGGGCAGAAACTGTTCATGTGCCAAATTTGCAACAAATCATTCCAGAGATCCTGGAACCTCCTGCTCCATCAGAGGATCCACACAGGGGAGTAATCCTTCAACTGTGAGGTTAGTGTTGAACGTTTTGTAATTTATTTGGTCACCTAGTTCAAGACAGGATTCACACAGGGGAGAAATGCTTTATGTGCCATGTTTGTACCAAGGTTTTTGCACAGTCAGCATATCCGTTTTCCATCAACACATTCTCACAGGAGAGAAATCCTGTCAGTGAATGTTCAGTAATAAAGCCTCCACATAGTTGATGGATGTCCTGAAACCCACACAACAACTACCTGACCAATTCTTGCACAATTTGTAGTCAGGATGTGTGTAACAGTGTACACAGTCTCATGGTGCAGGGTGTTCAGTGGGACTGGGACACGGAACAAGAAGCAGCTTTCACTCCCATCAAACACCTAGTGATGACATCACCAGTGCTGAGGGATTATGATGTCAACAATGGAGCCACCCTGCAGTGTGATGTCAGTGACACAGGACTTGGAGCAACCTCCAGGCAGTGAGGGCAACCCGTTGTGTTTGTATCCAGAGAGTTAACACAAACTGGAAAACACTACACAGATCAAGAAAGTGGGTCTGATTATCGTCTTTTCCTTTCACCAGTGTGTGTTTCGGAGAGAGAAAGTTATGGTAGAGTCTCACCACAAGCCATCTTTCTGAAGCCGTTCTGTTTGCGACAAAGAATTTGCTCAGGCTATTGCATAGATATCATTTGGAAGTGAAGTAAATCAAGGAAAACAGATGTACATTCCACTCATGCTGTTGGGAGCTGCTCTCTCTTTGAAAAACGTTGATGCTCACAGAGTTTGAGATCTTCCAGATTCAATAAGAAGCAACAGCACAGCATGTTCTGGAAATCATCAAACCACGTCTGGGGCTGTGGTCATTTCTGTGGTTGGTACCAGCTTAACTATTCTTAAAGATAGTGAAAATAGAATTTATACTTTATGTAACTTCCATTTAAAATTCCTGATATGTTCAGTTTAAACCAGATAATGCTGATAAAATGAATACAAATCAATGTAAATTCTCAGTTACAAATGAGGTACTTATGGTTGTTACCGATTTGTCAAGTAATTTTACAGAAGCAACAAGTTTTTAAAAATGTTTGTGATCAATTGAAGCATTTTTATTTTAGGATTGTAATCTGATTTGGCTTCATGATCAATGCAGTGTGTAAATATATACTGGATAATTTGTAAGACAAGATATAATTTAAATCCACAAATATCCAATCTCTTGACCACCAACGCTCAGTAGTTGCAGTGTGTGCTATCTACAAGATGCACTGCAGAAACTCATCAAGGCTCTTTAGACAGCACCTTCCAAACCCACCCCTTTATCTGGAAGGTCAAGAGCAGCAGATACATTGGAATGCCACTACCTGCTCCATCCCCTCCAAGCCACTTACCATCCTGAATTGGAAGTATATTGCCATTCCTTCGGTGTCACTGGGTCAAAATCCTGGAATACCCTCCCCAACAACAATATGGTTCTACTTACAGTACATGGACCGCAACAGTTCAAAAGGGTAACATACCACCATTTCTCAAGTGCAACTGGGATGGACAATAAATATTGGCCCAGTCATCAATGGCCATGTTCTATGAGTGAATTAAAAAAGTACAGAGAACAAAGAACAACGAAAATCAAAGCACAGGAACAGGTCCTTTGGCCCGCAAGCCTGCACCGACATGCTGCCCGTCACAACTAAAACCCCAGATCCCTCTATTCCCATCCTATTCATGTATTTGTCAAGATGCCCTTTAAAAGTCACTATAGTATCTGTTTCCACTACCTCCCCCAGCAGCGAGTTCCAGGCACCCACCACCCTCTGTGTAAAAAACTTGCTTCGTACATCACCTTTAAACCTTGCCCCTCGCACCTTAAACCTATGCCCCCTAGTAACTGACTCTTCCACCCTGAGAAAAAGCTTCTGACTGTCCACTCTGTCCATGCCCTTCATAATCTTGTAGACCTCTATCATGTCGCCCTTCAACCTCCATTGTTCCGGTGAGAACAGCCCAAGTTTCTCCAGCCTCTCCTCATAGCTAATACCCTCCATACCAGGTAACATCCTGGGAAATATTTTCTGTACCCTCTCCAAAGCCACTGCATCTTTCTGGTAGTGTGGTGACCAGAATTGAACACAATATTCCAAATGCGGCCTAACTAAGGTTCTATAAAGCTGCAACATTACCTGCCAATTTTTAAACTCAGTGCCCTGGCTGAGGAAGGCAAGCATGCCATATGCCTTATAAAAATCGAAAGAACTGCGGATGCTGTAAATCAGGAACAAAAACAAAGTTGCTGGATAAACTCAGCAGGTCTAGCAGCATCTGTGAAGGAAAAAACAGAGTTAACGTTTCAGATCCGGTGACCCTTCCTCAGAACTGATAGTGGCTGGGAAAATGTCAGTTTATGTGCAGAAAATAGGGAGGTGAGTGGGGTAGGGAGTAAATGATAGGATAGAGCCCAAAGAGACAGAAAGACAATTGGACAGACAAAGGAGTTGCTAACAATCAGGCTGGAAGGGTGAATAGTTTTTAGTGGGGACTGTTAGTGACTAACAACAGTGGGTGTGTAATGGCAGGCTATGTGGTAACAAGGCCTGATATGTGGGGTAGGGAGCTGGGACATGGGAGAATTTAGGCCCTAAAATTATTGAATGCAGTATTGAGTCCAGAGGGCTGTAGGGTCCCCAAGCGGAAAATGAGGTGTTGTTCCTCCAGCTTGCGTTGGGCTTTGCTGGAACACTGCACCAAACCAGAGACAGAGATGTTGGCCAGGGAGCAGGGTGGTGCATTAAAATGGCAGCGAACAGGTAGTCCAGGGTCTTTTTTGTGAGCAGAACGTAGATGTGGTCGCCAAGTCTATGCTTCGTTTCCCCAGTGTAGAGGAGACCACATTGTGAGCAGCAAATGCAGTAGACTAGATTCTGGGAAGTGCAGGTGAAGTGTTTTTTATGCCATATGCCTTGTTGATGACCTTCTCCACCTGCGTTGCCACTTTCAGTGACGTATGTACCTGTACACCCAGATTCCAGCAAAGCCCAACACAAGCTGGAGGAACAACACCTCATTTTCCGCTTGGGAACCCTACAGCCCTCCGGACTCAATACTGCATTCAATAATTTTAGGGCCTAAATTCTCCCATGTCCCAGCCCCCTACCCCACATACCAGGCCTTGTTACCACATAGCCTGCCATTACACACCCCCTGTTGTTAGTCACTGACAGTCCCCACTAAAAACTATTCACCCTTCCAGCCTGATTGTTAGCAACTCCTTTGCCTGTCCAACTGTCTTTCTGTCTCTTTGGGCTCTATCTTATCATTTACTCCCTACCCCACTCACCTCCCTATTTTCTGCATATAAACTGACATTTTCCCAGCCACTATCAGTACTCTTAAGAGTTCTGCCATTTACTGTATATTTTCCATCTGGATTAGACTGTCCAAAATGCATTACCTCACATTTTTTTAGATTAAACTCCATCTGCCATCTTTCTGACTAAGTCAACCAACTGATCTATATCCAGCTGTATCCTCTGACGGCCCTCATGGCTATCCGCAATTCCACCAAACTTTGTGTCATTGGCAAACTTACTAAACAGACCAGTTACATTTTCGTCCGAATCATTTATATATATTACAAATAGCAAAGGTGCCAACACTGATCCCTGAGGAATGCCACTAGTCACAGCTGTCCATTCAGAAACACACCCATCCACTGCTACCCTCTGTCTTCTATGACTGAGCCAATTTTTTATCCATCTTGCAAGCTCAACTCTGACCCCGTGCAACTTTACCTTCTGTATCAGCTTGTCAAAGGCCTTACTGAAGTCCATGTGGACAACATCCACTGCCCTACCCTCATCGATCATCTTCGTCACTTCCTCAAAAAACTCAACCAAGTTAGTGAGACACGACCTCCCCTTCACAAAACCATGTTGCCTCTCGCTGATACGCCCAGTGATTTCCAGGTGGGAGTAAATCCTGTCTTGAAGAATCCTCTCCAATAATTTCCCTACCACTGACATAACCTCACTGGCCTGTAATTAGCTGGATTATCCTTGCCACCCTTCTTAAACAAAGGCTATTCTCCAATCCTCTGGGACCTCTCCAGTAGCTAATGAGGATACAAATATTTCCCTCAAGACCCCAGCAATTTCCTCCCTTGCCTGTCTCAGTATTCTGGGGTATATCCCATCAGGCCCAGGGGACTTGTCTACCGTAATGTTTTTCAAGACCCCCAATACCTCCTCCCTTTTGATCTCAACATGACACAAACTATCTACACACCCTTCCCCAGACTCATCATCCACCAAGTCCTTCTCTATGTACTTTGGCTTAATCTTAGATTTTAGTCCCAATAATCCTTGATTTTAGTCATTTATATGCTAAATTTTTGTTGGTGTTTTGGAGTGACTTTTATACTTAAAAACTCAATTGTACAGAGTTCTTGACAATCCCATGTATGGAGAATGGACAAAACAGTGGTTAAAGAGAGAAAGGCAACGATGAATGAAAAAAACCTACAATGGACAGCCTTTTGATCACTATTTCGTTGACAAGGATCAAAAAGATGTGATTTTCTGCTTCAAACATCTGAAGGATCTTGTTATTTTCCTACTGGTCTTGATAAGATGAGAACCGAGACTATTTGCCTCTAAGAGAGCCTTGGATAAGAGTTGCTGAAGTTATTTTCTTATAAGCAAAAGGTGAACTGTGATGAATCTACACAAACTGATTAATGAGAGAGAAAGCCCCAAGCTGGGCAGGGGCAAAGGTGAGTACAGCAGCCTGGCAACAAACACAGATCAGAGGAGATTGAATAAAAAGATATATGCCATTGTTTTCTGACATCCTGATAAACCTTGAGGAACTTGGGAGGGTCAGCATGATTATTAGGGGGAAATGGTCTGGTCAATCACTGAGGTCGTGAAAAGGTCTCATTCCACAGTTTGACCACCCGAGGATAGAATATGGAACCTACTTTTATTGTCATGCGTACTCCATTGAGGAAGTATAGGAGTGCTTTGATAAGCTTTTACAATGTCTGCTTTTTATGGCGCCATCTTAGGTACAAATACCTAGGTACAAATCTTGGATACAAAAGAGGAATAAAAAGTAGAGATAACAAGGTGTAGAGCTGGATGAACACAGCAGGCCAAGTAGCATCAGAGGAGCAGGAAAGCTGACGTTTTCGGGTCTGGACCATTCTTCAGAAATGGGGGAGGGGAAGGGGATTCTGAAATAAATATTCTCAGGAATAAAAAGTAGTTGCATTACTTTACAGAGTTTTGAAAACTAATTTAGAAATAAGACATAGTTAAAGCATTGACCTTACAGTCAGGTAAAAATTTTCAAATAGACATTACATGGCAGCAGCTCAGTGCAGGGCCTCTGCATGTGTTCTAACCGCCCACAGCACAAACCGGTCCAACAACCATCCCTGCTGTGCTACAAGCCTCCAGTCCGCTCCGTACTGGCACTCGGCTGTTCTAAGATAAGTTGCAGGACTGCCTCCCCTGCACCAGTCTCTGTCCGGGATTCACTCCCCATGCATTTCTCTGGGACTCGGATGGACCCCTACCACATGGGAATGCCAATTTCCAGTTTTGAGAGTTTATTTTGGAGAGCAGCTCCATAAATGTAGCTTTGTGAATACATTCTCCATACAGAAGCCTAATTACACTACACACTTGTTCTGCGTCATTTTGTATCCAGACTAAGACCAAAATCTAAAATGTGGACAGTCTGGGGAAAAGAGGAGGTGTCTACAGTTTCTTCATTCACTTTGCAATGTGGCTGTGTTCCAGTAAACAGGGGTCAGAGTGAGAGGGGAGGGTTATACAACAAGCCCAGAATCTGGGGAGTTATTCATGTAGCCCTGACAACAGTTTTAATCCATGGATGGATTTGGAAAACAAGTTCAAAACTAACTAAAAATAAGACTGAACTTTCCTGTGCAGAATGGGTGATTCCTTGTTTTATTCCTAACACATTGTTAGAACCGTGTCTAAACAATAAAACTTTCTTGAGTGAATGAAAGCAGAATGGTCCATCAGCAGAACTAATTGAAGACAATCCCATAAGGTGTCCATTCCAGCTGAACCAGGGACAATGATTTGAAACTGACCTCACAGGTGAATGGTTTCTCCCCGGTGTGAACGCATTGGTGCATGAGAAGGGTCAAAGACTGGGAGAATGATCTGTTGCACACCTTGCTTGTGAATATTTCTTTCCTGTATGAGTGTGCTGGTGATTTACCAGGCCTGATAACTGTGAAAAGTCCTTTTTACATACCTCACACATGAACGGTTTCTCCACAATGTGAATGCATTGGTGATTCATGAGTGATGATACTTTGCAAAAGTTCGGTCACATACCTCACACTTGAAGAGTTTCTCTTCCATGAAGTTGTCTTTGTGTTAACGGTTGTACAGCAAATGAACATGTGTATTAGCGGACTGCACAAAGCTGTGGAGCTTTCCTCACACTTGAACAGGCTGTCACTGTAGGAATGAGTCAGTGGTTCATGAGGCTTGATGAATGATTGAAGCCCTCACCACACTTGAAACCCACTCACACTCCTTCCCAACCTCACCCTGACCGATCATCTACAGTCAAACCTTCAAAACAGGTTGCTTCTGATGGAAAGCTTCACACTATTGACCAGTTTCAGATCTGATCAAAGCTCCATTGAATCCACTGATTTCCCCATGATGGTTTCACTGCCCAACTTTTTCTGAGCAATACTGTAAGGCAACTGGATGTATTCCCACAGTTATGTGGTTGATCCTTCGGAGATGGTTTGGATCTATTTGTGGTCTATCCTCTCTGTATTCTGTGGCATAGTACTGTGTATTCCTTTTGGAAAACAGGAAAAGGAAACATGATTTCCTCCAACCCCCCTCTCCTCCTTTGCTGAAGGGGCTGACTCCTCAGTTAGAGAATGTTCCACAATGAGTGCCAGTTTTCTATTCCCCTTTGTGGGAAGGGTTCAGAGGCCAATGTCATCTTTTTCCTCATTTGAATGTCACACATCTCTGTTTCCATCAGGGACACCTGATAATGACCAAGAGCAGACAATGTGACTGTTTCTTCTGCCCACACCACAATCTTTCCAAGCACCGTGGCCGCAACGGAATAGGTGGTCAGAGTGTAAAATGAGCGATCCATTGTTTATTAGCTGGAATTGTGATAGTGAGAATATGTTTAAATTAAAAAATACTAAGGTAAAATGTTAATTCAATGAAGATAATGATATGACTCCCCTTGCTTTCCAAAATGAGTTCAGGAAAATGCACTGGTCAGGAAATTCTAGAAGCTAAAGAAAATATTGCTTCACTGTAGCTGATTGAAGAGTTCTAGTTTATCCTGGGAGATTAAATATATTGCATTCACTCAAGGTGCACATCCTAAATTCAACTATCAGTCATAGCATTGGGGAAAACTTGATCTCTATTTCACCAGTCAGTTTCCCTGACTTCACGAAACTCAGACTGAAGGAAACTCATATTATTCCAGAGATATTTGGATTGACTGTGAGTGACGTGAATCAGAGAGCCCACCCACTCTGCCAATTCTCTCGTCTTCCTCTTCCAGAGCTGGTGCATTTCCTATAGGGACTGAAAACCAAGTGAGGAGATGGTGAGTGAAGGAGCAGCTTTTATACAAATTGTATCCCATAATATCCACTCCAGTCTTCAGGCAGTCTGACTATCCTGCGGGCAGTCAGGGGTGGAAATGTCCCTTGTGCTGTGTGAGAAGATCCAGCTGAGAAAGCTGTTTACTCAGTGCTTTGTGCTGAACTGTTTGACTGGAGCTGTGTGTTGGATATTGAGTGTGTTTATTGGAAGCATTCTGATTTAATTTTCAGAGGTCTCCAAGATATTCCACAACCTTACCTCACCAATGTCCTCAGAAAAGAGAAAGAAGAAAGGCATTTTTGTAGAACCTTTCACAACCAGCAGATGTTCCAATGCTTGTTACAGCCAATTATATAATTTTGAATAGTGGTCACCGTCGTAATGTTTCAATAGTAGAAAATGTCTGCATATCCACCTCCCAATACAGCAATAACAGTTTTTTCTGTGGTTTTAACTGAGCAATTGTTATGTTCTATTGACACACTTCATTTAAAAGTTATTTGCATGCCCAATAACCCACTTAAAGAGAGCGCAGGAAGGATTTTCAATTTTCAGATTTTTATGCACATAGATTAACGAACTGGAATATTGACTAACTACAACCTAATGGGCATCTGATACACTAAAGTACAGAAAGGATAACTGCCTTTAACTTATACCATGACTGAACACTCCACAGTGCTGTTACATTTTATATCCTGCTATCTGTAGAATCACAGTTTTTACAGGAAGCAGTACAATGACACTATCATCTTCCAGTGGGCTCACTTCTTTCCATTTTAATGAATCATATCTTTGAGTGACCATCAAAAGCCACTTCTGAGTTTCCAGAGAATTTTTGAACCGCCTGTCATCACTCAGGCCTCTCCATCTATTCGATCTCTGGCCTTGCCAGGTCAAATTTTCCAGAGTCTTTAGATTGTCACAGTGTGTGTCTCTTCAACTACAGACCATGTTCTCTCCTACATTCTGCCTGGCGGCCCACAGATAGAACACTTTCTCCTCTCTGCTGACCACACTGGCTACAGTCCTTACTGTCTTTCTCAGATCTGTCTGCCTCTCCCTGTCTGTAGTCTCAGAGACAGAAAGTCTGTTGAGTCAGCCTCAGGTCTGGTAACTTTGCAGCTTGGTCTGCGAGTCCTAACCTGCCCCCATGGAAATGAGAAGCTGCCTGTTGCTGGGCAAAGCTGTGCAAACTCTGACCAGAGATAGTAGGAACTGCAGATGCTGGAGAATCCGAGACAACAAGGTGCAGAGCTGGATGAACACAGCAGGCCAAGCAGCATCATAGGAGCAGAAAGGCTGACGTTT